GGTGGAGACATCGGCGCTCATGGTGGCGAGGTTTGAAGAGAGGATTCACGATCTGGAGGCGGAGTTGTCTGGATTGAACAAGCAGGTCGTTGCCTTGAAGGCCGAGGAGGTGCGGGCAGTCACAACCATCCATGTCTCATGCTTCTGCCGATCCTGGCATTCCGCTGGAGTTATATGAGATGTGGGTTCACGAAGAGGCTCAGCTCGACGTGTATAAGTCTTTGAAAGCCAACGGGAAAATTTCCGAAGCGGAACTCGAGGGCGTCCGTGTTAAGGCACATGCGGCTCGTAAAGCTTGCGGTTACGCCCCTGGTACACCTGGTGGGGATGATGTTGACGATGATGTGGATAGGCTCGCCTACGATTCTTGGTATGATGATGAGTATGTCGATGGGGATGACGCGGCGTAGCATAGTCATACTTATTTTTTTGTTTTGTTTTGCTATTTTTGTGAGGGCGTCTTTGGGCCCTTTGTAAAAAGTATTGTAATTTGACAGTTGTAATGGAACAGCCCCTTTTTTGCTACGTGTTTCTTGATTTTCGTTCTATTTTCTTTTCGCAATGTAGAAGTCCCTGATTTTTTTGATAAGGTCGATGTTCGACGCTGTCGAACATTTGAAGATTTCAAGCGAGGTCGAATGTTTAAGTAATTCGAGCGAGGTCGAATATAAGTGGTTCGAGCGAGGTCGAATGTTTAAGTAATTCGAGTGAGGTCGAATATAAAATAATTCGAGCAAGATTGAGTTTAAAATAACTCGAGCGAGGTCGAATGTAAGTGATTCTAGCGAGGTCGAATGTTTAAGTAATTCGAGCGAGGTCGAATGTAAAATAATTCGAGCAAAGTTGAATGTAAGTAGTTCGAGCGAGGTTGAATGTTTAAGTAATTCGAGCGAGGTCGGATGTAAAATAATTCGAGCGAGGTCGAATGTAAAATAATTCGAGCGAAGTCAAATGTAAGTTATTCGAGGATGGTCGAATTTTTAAGTAATTCGAGCGAGGTTGAATGTTTAAGTAATTCGAGCAAGGTCGGATGTAAGTGATTCGAGCGAGGTCGAATGTTTAAGTAATTTGAGCGAGGTCGAATGTAAAATGTGAAAAGACTCGGAGCGTGAAGATGCTGCTTTATTTCATTCACTGGAGAATATCACATGTTTCCTTTTGTTTTCATGCATATATTGGAGAAGTTCTCATGTATCCAGTCCCTTCACCGTTCGGCCTGGAGAAGTAGTCGGCAGGCAGGGCGATGAAATATATTTGAACTTCGAGACGTCCCCTTTGTCGCCTCATTAAAAACCTCCCCAAGAACACCCAATTGGGACAAAACCCGAGTGAGGGAAAAAGAGTACGACGTGGAGGGCGTCTGTTTTTAGAAGTTGAAGTATTTGAGGTGGGCGACGTTCCAATTATTTTATAGTAGCTTTCCTTCCATTGTTTCTAGTTGGAACGATCCTTTGTTTGCTGCTGTCGTGATTTTATACGGCCCGTCCCAATTGGTTCCTAGTTTGCCTTCTCTTGAATCTTTGTTTGCATGTGTTTTGGCCTTGAGTACATAGTCTCCGACTTTGAGTGGTCGTATTTTGGCCTTTTTGTTGTATTACTGTTTGCTTGTTATTTTTGGGCTACCATTGTTATGTAAGCCATGCCTCTTCATTCCTTTGCTTCATCGAGGTTTTGTTTCCTGTTCTCGTCATTGCTTGGTGTGCTTTCATTGGAGTATCACAAACTAGATTCCCCGACCTCGATCGATATCATGGCGTCAGTTCCGTAGACTAGTAAATATGGTGTTTCTCCGGTGCTTGTTTTTGGCGTGGTGCGGTATGCCCACAATACTTCTGGTAGTAATTCTGGCCATAGTCCTTTGGCATCCTCAAGCTTTTTCTTCAAGATAATCAGTATTGTTTTGTTGGAGGATTCAGCCTGACCGTTGCCGGCAGAGTGATATGGCGTGGAGAGTATTCGCTTAATATGCCATTTTTCGAAGAACTCGGCGGTCTTCTTTCCGATGAATTGGGGTCCGTTGTCACAGCTGATTTCTTTAGGGATGCCGAAGCGACATATGATGTTTCTCTATATGAATGTGATAACTTCTTGTTCGCGTATTTGGGTGAACGTACCTGCTTCTACCCATTTGGAGAAATAGTTAGTTAAAACATAAAGAAAACGTACATTACCTCGCCCTGCTGGGAGGGGTCTAACGATGTCCATTCCACATTTGATGAACGGTCATGGCGATGTAACAGAGTGGAGGTGTTCGCCCGCTTGACGTATCATGGGAGCATATTTTTGGCACTGTTCACACTTTTTGACGTAATTGGCGGCTTCCTTCTTCATTGTGGGCCAATAATAACCTGCTCGGGTGAGGCATCTGACGAGGGACTGTTGCCGGTATGGGCACCGCAATGGCCTTCGTGTACTTTCTTGAGCACGCGTCTTGTTTGATTCGTCCCTAGGAACTTCGCCAAAGGGCCTTCAAACGTTCTTTTGTATATGTCATGATATATGATGTTGTACCCGGCCGCCTACATTCGAAGCCTTTTGGCTTTTTTTTTTGTCTACTGGGAGTACTCTTTCCTACAAATATGTTATAATACGGCTGTGCCAGTCCTAAGTCAAATTTACAGAGTGTATCTCGAGCTGGTCTATTGATGAGTGTAGGAGGGTGACCACGTTTTCCTTCGTGATGTTTTTGGTGGCCGCTGCTAACTTGGCGAGACTGTCTGCCCTGATGTTTTGTGCTCGAGGTATCTGATCGAGTCGACATTCGTCGAACTCCGGTAGCAGTTTATGAATTTTTGCCTGGTATTTTTGTAGCCTCTACTCTTTGATTTGGAAAGTCCCTGTGACTTGGTTGACAATGAGTTGTGAGTCACATCTAAGGGCAACTCATCGTGCTCCATATTTGAGAGCTAGCTTCAATCCTGCAATTACGACCTCATACTCGGCTTTATTGTTAGTCATATCAGGGCACCGTATGGATTGGCGAATGACTTCGCCTGTTGGGACTTCGAGTACGAGTCCCAATCCAGATTCTGAGGCGTTGGATGTGCCATCGGTGTATAGGACCCGTAGATCGGGTAGACCAGACGAGGTACTAGAAATTTCCTTTTCGGCCTCGGTTATAATTTTGGCGCTGAAATCGGTGACTAAGTCAGCGAGTACCTGCGATTTTATCGCTGTTCGCGGCTGATACGTTATATCATGCTCGCTCAATTCTATGGCCCATTTGGCCAATCTCCCCGACAGCTCGGGTTTATGCAGGATACCTCGCAAGGGAAAGGTCGTTACCACCGATATGGGGTGGCATTGAAAATAGGGTCTAAGCTTTCATGAAGCTATGACCAATGCCAAGGTCAATTTCTCGAGGTGAGGGTATCTCGTTTCGGCGTTGACGAGAGTTTTGCTAATATAGTAGATCGGAGACTGCGTACCTTTATCTTAACAGACCAATATTGCGCTTACCGCGACCTTTGATACGGCCAAGTATATAAGGAGACGCTCATCGAGTTCTGCTTTGGCGAGTAGCGGGGGAGATGATAAGTACGCCTTTAGTTCTTTTAAGGCCTCAATGCATTATGCATTCCATTGGAGCCCGTTGTCCTTTTCGAGCACGTTAAAGAATTTGTGGCATATGTCAGAAGATCGCGAGATGAACCTTGACAGGGTAGCTATGCGACCCGTTAATTTTTGCACATGTTTCTTGCTGGTTAACATTTTGGATGTTCTCTCAATGGCCTTGATTTGGTCGGGGTTGACCTCGATGCCTCTTCGTGACACCAAGAAATCGAGGAACTTGCCTGAAGTTACGCCTAAGGCATATTTTTCAGGGTTCAACTTCATACCGTATTGCCTAGGTATTTCAAAGTCTTCTTTCACGTGGTCGATGTGATCTTCCTTCCTTTTCGATTTGATCAACATGTCGTCTATGTAAACTTCCATAGTTTTGCCGAGCTAGTACTTGAACAGTTTGGTCACCAATCTTTGATAAGTCGCCCCCACCTTCTTTAAGCCGAATGGCATGACTCGATAACAGTACGTTCCTTGATGGGTGATGAAAGTAGTCTTCTCCTGGTCCTCTTCCTCCATGAGGATTTGGTTGTGACCTGAGTAGGCATCCAAGAAACTCAACAACTCGTGTCCTGCCGTTGCGTCAATGAGCTGATCGATATGACGCAGGGGTAATGAGTCTTTTGGGAAAGCCTTGTTTAGGTCGGTGAAATCCATGCACATTCGCCATTTCCCTTGTTTCTTTTTTACCATGACTACATTGGCGGCCCATTAAGGATATTTTGATTCTAGGATGGAGCCGTTAGTGAGTAGCTTATCCACTTCCTCACTGATAGCCTCGTTGATTACGACATTGAATTTTCTTCTTCCTTGTCGTACTGGGGGGTATAAGGGATCGATGTTCAACTTATGTGTGGCAACGTCTTTCAGAATACTTGGCATATCTGCGTGGGAAAAAGCAAACAGATCGGCATTATTGATTAAAAACTCATAAAGTTTACCTGGCTCGGAGAGCTTATGGACTATATAAGCCTTTTTGTTGCTAATGTTGCTATCTAGTTGGACGAGATCGAGATCTTCTATTGTTGATCTCGTGGCTTCCACGACGTCAGGGTCCTTGATAACATCTTTCTGATTGTTGAGCTCGGACCCCGACTTTGATAATTGCTATGCTTCTGAGTTTGTCCCTTTCAGCTGTTGAGTAAATATGCAATCTTGGGCGATGCGGTAGCATTCTTGGGCTGTGCGCTATTCGCCTCGGATGTTGAATATCCCCCACGGGGTAGGGAATTTGATTACTTGATACAAACTGGACGGGATAGCCTTATGGCGTGTATCTATGGTCGTCCTATGATTGCGTTGTAAGTTGTGTCCTAGTTCATGACATAGAACATTGTCTCTAGGATGACACCCCTGACCAGAACGGGCAACGTTATTTCTCTTGAGGTTCGTTCGACTGCATTGTTAAAATCTGTTAGTGTTATGCAATGTGTTTACTATATTGTCCTCGAGTCCATTTGTGCAAGCACTCGAGGGTGAATAATACACGCGCTGCTTCCGTCGTCTACCATTATTCTTTTAACATTAGTATCTGAAATACGTAAAGTAATGACAAGAGCATCGGAGTGAGGAAAAATCAAACCATTAGTATCTGACTTATTGAAGATGATACTTTTTTCGAGGTCATCATACCGATCGTAGGTGATTGACCGCTTTAGCTTGTGTGTGGTGGTAAAATTTATGTGGTTTATTGCTGCTTCGTCGCCTCTGCCGATGATCATTTGAATGGTGCGGGCAGGAGAGGGTGGCTTCGGAGGGCCTTGGTGTTTTTCTCGTCTGCGGTCGAAGTTGGCTCGTCCTCGGTCACTCATTAGCTCCTTCAGGTGCCCTTGGTTTAGCATGTTCACTACTTCTTGTCGTAGGGCTATGCAGTCCTCGTTTTTGTGACCTCGATCCTGGTGAAATTCACAAAGGACGTTCGACTTTCGGGTACTTGGGTCGGACTTCATTTTTTCCGGCCACTTCACTTTTGTGCCAAGCTTCTCTAGCGAGTACTCTATTTCTGAAGGAGAAACACAAAAATTGTGAGCAGATAAGAGTGGAGGCATACCTCTTTCGTTTCGTTGAATAACTATGTGCGGCCTAGATGGCCCTTCCGTATGTCGGGGAGATGGTGGAATGGTTGCTCTGACATAGGGTTGATGCCTGTCTTGATGAGGGGTGGGCCTGAATGATCTCTTCGACTGCCATTACGACGGTCTTTCCTCGGCTCTGTTTGGATCGACGTTAAACGTTGGGTCGGATTGTTAAGGTCGTCATCGTCTGCTCTCACCTCGGCACAATATGTGTTGTGAATTTCTTCCCAATTGGTGGGAGGGTATTTTATGAGCCTGCTTAACAACTTCTTGGTCTCCCTGGACCCATTCTTGTTCAACCCATTTTGGAAGGCTGCTACCACCATCCCTTCCGATACGTTTGGTAAGCTCATTCTCACCCCGTTAAATCGAGCGAGGAAGTCCTTGTGTGATAACCCGGCCAGTCGTCTCATGAGTTACCGCTTTGTTTCCCCCATTTCTGCTTCTTATCGCTTTGTTTATCGGTTTTATATGTGATCGGGTTGGTTGGCTCGGGTTTGGAAAGGAATTGGTAAGGTTTGAGACACTTAGTCTTTTTTAAGGAAGCTTAAGTTGAAAAAGTCAACCAGATGTTGACTTATGTGTTAGAGGGCTCAAATATGAGTTCTAATGGCTTCGGGAGGTGATTTGGGACTTAGGAGCATGATCAGAATGAGTTTTGGAGGTCCGGAGTAGATTTAGGCTTGAATTGGCAAAATTGGATTTTTGGTGATTTCTAGTTGATAGGTGAGATTTTGATATAGGGGTCGGAATGGAATTCTGAGAGTTGCAGTAGTTCCGTTGTGTCATTTGGGATGTGGTGTGCAAAATTTCAGGTCATTCGGACATGGTTTGGTTGGGTTTAAATCAAAGGCATAATTTAGAAAATTTTGAAATTCTTATTCTTGAATCCGATGCGAATTTGGTGTTTTGATGTTGTTTTGAGCGTTCCGAAGGTTGGAACAAGTTTTAATGAGGTTATGGGATATGTTGACATATTTGGTTGAGGTTCCGGAGGCCTCAGGTGAGTTTCGGATGGTCAATCGGACCATTTCATGTTGTTTGGAATTGCAAAAAATTACTGATCAGTGTTGCAGGGAAATGACCTTCGCATTCGCGAGTAGGCCCTCGCGTTCCCGAAGGGTTAGCTGGTGAAGGCTGAGATTTTGGCCTTTGCGTTCGCGAGGAAGGCTCCGCGTTCGCGAAGGGCTCGGTGATTGGTTAACGCGTTCGCATGAAGGGGACCGCATTCGCGTAGAGGAATTGGGCAGCTGAGCTTCAGGGTATTTTTATTCATCACGTTCAAGAGAGAGGTAACACGATCGCGAAGAGATATATGAGGAAAGCATCGCGTTCGCGATGGGAAGGTCGCGATTGCGAAGAGGAAATTTTGGTCAAAGTTGGTTTGTGCTTTGCGAGCGCGAGACGTTGACCGCGTTCGCGAAGAAGGATTTTAGGCCTGGGCAGAATGTTTAAATAGTCATCTTGTCCGCGATTTTGGAGCTTTTTGAAGAGGATGGAAGAGGGCTTCAAGGGAAATCACTTGGAGGTAAAATTCATGGACTTAAAACTCGATTCTAATGTGAAATCTACCTAATTAATCATGGAAATTAAGCCTAAAATTGAAGAAATAGGGCTTGAAATTGGAGATCTAGAATTTGAAATTTGAGAGGTCGTTTATGGTTGGATTTTGATGCTTTTGGTATGAATGAACACGGGGAGTGATAAGGAATCCATTGATGTAATTTTTACCGGAATCTGAGAGGTGGGCTCGGGGGTCGGGTTTTGGGAATTTCGGAATTTGTGTTGTAAATTGATTATTTTCACTTGGGCTTCGTTCCCTTAGCATATTTTGATGCCGTGATTCTTGTTTTGGATAGATTCGACGCGAGTGGAGGCCGATTCGAGGGGCAAAGGCATCACGGGCTAGAGATTTGACCGGATTGAGGTGAGTAATGATTGTAAATGATGTCCTGAGGGTATGAAACCCCGGATTGCACATCGTTGTGCTATATTGAGGTGACGCACATGCTAGATGACAAGCGTGGGGTCGTGCACTATTGGGGATTGTGACATAGTCCATCCCGAGTGATGGTTTTACCGCGTATTTGATTGAAAACTATTTGCTATCATCATGTTTTGGGCTGAATGCCATATTTGGGCCTCGTGCCAACTGTTTGAACCCTTAAGGGATTTTTATTGATATTTCCTTACTGTTTGATTTTATACTTGAACTCAATCCTGATATATTCTACTGTTTTCATAACTCAGCCATGTTTACTCTGTTTTAACACTTAAATGATATTTTAAATAATATTCTAGGCTGAGCATCATGTTTTACTATTGTTCGAGTGGCTTGTGAGATTTTGACTGAGTAAGGCCGATGGCCTATGTTGTGAGGAAATACTGATTATGATTATGAGGCCGAGGCCCTAAGATTTGTATGCCACGAGGTGGCTTATTGATATGAGGCCGAGGGCCTAGTGATGATGCCACGAGATTGACTTGATATTGCGCTTGGGCCGAAAGGGGCCCCTCCAGGAGTCAGCAGACCCCAGTGAGCATGTGTACCCATTATAATGTGAGATATAGCCCGAGGGGCAATCCTTTATGTGCTTATCTGTCTTATTTTTCTGTCACTTACCTGCTTAATAGTTAAAAAGGCATTTCATGAAGTTTGAACTGAACTAAAATGACTTTACACATTATTACTGCTTCACTATTTTTACTGGCTTTTATTGCTTCCGTATAGCCTATAATGTGCCTTGCGTGATTTCTTACTTTCAGTCTTTATTTATGATTATTACTCACTGAGTTGGAGTACTCACTTTTCTCCATGCACCCCGTGTGCAGATTCAGGCGTTGCTGATCCTGCTAGCGAGGGTTGAGAGCTCCCAGTAGATTTTGGAGTTCACGAGGTAGCTACTTGGCGTCCGCAGTCCTGTGCTTCACCCCCTTTATCTCATTTCTTTCTCTTTCTTAGTTATTCTGTAATAACTTGGTAGACATTTCAGACTTGTAGTGTATCGATAGATGCTCATGACTAGTGACACTCCGGTATCGGCCTGTATTGGGTTTTATTTCCGCAAATTGTAATGTTCACTGCTTACTTTTGGATTATTTATTACGCTCTAGACTTAATTCGTATTGTTTAACTGCTTAAAATTGAAATGGGAAAGTGTCGGCTGGCCTTGTTTTCATGAGAGGCGCCATCATGACTGGGTCCAGGTTTAGGGTCGTGACAAGTTGGTATTAGAGCCTAGGTTATATAGGTCTCAATAGTCATGAGCAGGTTTAGTAGAGTCTCACAGATCGGTTTAAAGACGTCTATATTTATCCTCGAGAGGCTGCAGAACCTTTAGGAGAAACTTCATATTCTTGAAATTCTTGTCGTGCGACTTTGTTGATTCGAGCACTAAACTTCTGCTATTCTATTCTCTCACAGATGGTGAGGACACGCGCTACCGATCAGGATGGACGACCACCAGTGCCACCAGTTGTGGCCACTAGAGGCCAAAGACACGATTATGGTTGCGATAGTGGCAGAGGTGTGGCCCGCACAGCAGCTAGGGCAGCACCTGTAGATCCACCAACCACCCCAGTTCAGGATCAGTCCCAGTTATGGACGCCTCAGCAACACCAGCTCAGGCACCAGCTGTGCCTATTATGATTCCGGGTCTTCAGGAGGCCTTGGCTCAAATTCTATCAGTTTGCACTGGCCTAGCTCAGGCGATCTCAGCCACTACAGCCGCAACTACTTCTCAGGCTGGGGGAGGTAATCAGACTCCCACCGCTCGCACACCTGAGCAGGTCGTGCAGGGACTTCAGATGCTAGGGGCACATCCAGCCCAGCCGGTTGCAGCTGCTCAGGACTATGTAGTTAATGCCATGCCAGAGGACGAGCAGCGTAGGTTGGAGAGGTTTGTTAGACTTCAGCCTCCGACCTTCAGTGGTGCAGAGGGCGAGGATGCCTAGGGTTTCTTGGATAAGTGTTAGAGGATGCTTCGTACAGTAGGTATTCTGGAGACCAGCGGGGTCGCTTTCTCTACTTATCAGTTTTTGGGAGCTGCCTTCACTTGGTAGGAGACTTTTGAGAGGCGTAGGCCTGTTGGTGCAGCACCCCTTACCAGGCAGCAGTTCTCTATTCTCTTTCTGGAGAAGTATGTGTTGCAGTCTCGTAGAGAGGAGCTGCGCAGACAGTTTGAGTGGTTGCGTCAGGGAGAGATGACTGTGATGCAGTATGGGATGAGGTTCTCCGAGTTAGCTCGTCATGCCATTTGGTTGGTTTCGATAGATAGAGAGAGGATTAGGAGGTTTGTTGATGGCCTCACTTATCAGCTTCGTATTCTCATGACCAGGGAGCGGGTGACTGGTGCTACTTTCGGGGAGGTTGTGGACATTGCTCGTGAGATTGAGTTTGTTCGTCGCTAGGAGTGAGAGGAGAGGGAGGCCAAGATCCCTTGAGGATCAGGTAGCTATAGTGGTACTCCTTCGAGAGGTCAGTTTTAGCACGGTAGAGGTCGTTCATTCAGGCATGCTCAACCAGCTCGCCTAGGTTATCGTGGGGTGTCATCGGGTCATGGTTCCCACAGTTCCCATTAGGGCTAGTCATCACTTAGTGCCCTTCTCGCTCAGAGTTCGTCCCGTGCTCCATCAGTTTAGGGCTCTTCTATGCCAGGCGCATCTGCTAGTCACTTCAGTGTGAGTGGTTCCCTTCAGTCCCCTTCTCCAGCACCCGGGAGTTGCTATGAGTGTGGAGAGATGGGTCATATGTGGAGGCAGTGTCCTCATCGTCTTGCGAGTCCATCTCAGCAGAGGGGTCAGTCATCAGCTTTAGTGCCAGTTACTTCATCACCACCCGCCCAGCCAGCTAGGGGTGGAGGTCAGTCAGCTAGGGGTCGCCCTAGAGGGGGAGGTCAATCAGTTGGCGGTCAGGCTCATTTCTATGCACTTCCAGCTAGACCTGATGTTATTGCTTTTGATGCTTTAATTGCAAGTATTGTCTCAGTCTGCCATAGAGATGCTTCTGTATTATTTGATCCTGATTCTACCTTTTCTTATGTGTCATCATACTTTGCTCGTTATTTGGGTACGCCCCATGAGTCTCTTATTTTACCTGTTCATATATCTACCCCAATGGGTGATACTGTTGTTGTAGACCGTGTGTACTGGTCGTGTGTGGTGACTATTGGGGGTCTGGAGACCCAAGTGGATCTTTTATTATTATGTATGGTGGACTTCGATGTTATTTTGGGCATGGATTGACTATCTCCGTGTCGTGCTATTTTGGACTATCATGCTAAGACAGTCATATTGGCTATACCGGGTGTGCCACATATTGAGTGGC